TTTGGAAGCTGGGGGTGGGGGTGGGGGGAGGACCAGGGAGGATGATTCAACCACTCAACCACTAGATGTCGCTGAAAAACAACAAATCCTACACACTGTTCCTTAAGTTGTAATTTATTTAAATTAAGCATGAACACAGTTTGTCTGTTTGTTATCAGATAAAGATAACATGAGCAACTACAAAATGTTGTTTTTAATTTTTTATTTAATTCAGTTATCCAAACCTAACCATGTGAAAAAGTAATTGCCCAATAAACRGGTGTGCCACTGTTAACAACTGCGGTCAGGCGTTTGTGACATCTGAAGAGTCTTTCACATGGCTGCAGAGGAAAGAAATGTCAGATCCTCATCCTGATGCAGAACACAACTGTTTTTGAGCTGAGGGTCATGAACTGGTGGTCASACCTTCTACTTCAGGATTTCCTGGTTCTGATCAGATTTAATTACAACAAGTCGTTCAGGTTCTGAAGCAGCAAAGTAGCTCCAGACCATCACACAACCACCACCATGCTTGACTGTTAAATGAAGGCCCTATCACACTATAACCTATGTTTAATCTATGAGTAACGTATCCATAATGTGTCCCTATTACATATATTTTATACAAGTGTTTAACAGTATTTTTGACTTATGTAGAGCTTATGCAAAATGTTAGTGTAACTGATGCTGAACTTATGCGTAGTATACTGGAGTGTAAAAATGTCTACACAGTATAGGAATGTGACAACACTTGTTTTTACATAGTTTTATACTAATTATAAACARTATTACCTCACCATACACACAGGGGCCGACCACATGTAAACTCACTGCTGGAACACAAGATTAATCATGTCAGCCTGACTCACTTTTTCCAACCACTAAGAGTTTGTAGATCAAAGTACGGCAATATTAAGAATTGCATAGAGCTTTTACRTAAATAGTCCTGTGGAGTTTTTACTTCTGTAAAATGTGATAGAAGAAGAAAGAGAAGCCCAGAATGCATCTGATTCTTTAAAAGTTCAAACTCTGATAGAAATGGATCTGCGCGWTACTGCATTTGTAGAAAAGTTATCTAAGGAAACAATTATACAAAACTTGACTCAGACAGTTTGTATTTATTTTTAGAGCAACATACTCCACTGCTTACTGTGTGAATAATTGTGCTTATACAGCAGCTGGTGCTCATGCTGTGGGCATTGATTAATGGCACCACTGCAGCAACATTTCATCCTGTTTATTCTGTGGTCGTTGACTTTAAAACAATAAAAACTCAACATTATTTAAGTAATAAAACCTGGTTTTACAGTTGTTATGAAGAACAAAATGTGAAATATCTCATTGTGTCTTTAAATAAGTAATAAATTCAACATATTTTTAGTTACAGTGAGGTGGTGCACTCTTAAGGTTACACTTTTTAAAAGTTTGTTAGAATTGTATTTAGCCTATTATTTATCAGTAATCTCCTTTGTTACACATTAAGCCTTTTGGGGTGGATCCGCATTGATTGTTAAAACCATTGTTAAAAACTCAAATGAAAATTAAAATCCTTCAGGAACAGTGAAGGATGAATAAATCGATCCTAATGAGGCTCACTTTAGGCAAGTATTGAGTGTAAATCCAAGAAACAAGCCTTAGTCATTAGCTTAAATGATTACTGTAAACCAAGTGTCAGATTCAAGGCCTGCAATGACTTCTGTCTGGTCCGCCTGAAGCGTCCCCACCCCACGCTGCAAGAAAAGTATAGTTATTTTTTTACTTAATTAAAAATGAAAACAGTTTTTATATCAATGATGAACCTAACAAATAACAAAATAAACACATTTAATAGGTGAAGGATCAAAATACCTGTATTAATGTCTCAAAATAAGCTGCTTTAAAGTCAGCATCAACCATAAACATCTCCCAATGCAGGTCAAATGCATGGAAGTCCCTGTTAGAAAGTGAGAGAATTCAGAATTCACAACTCACCACAACTCAACCGGGATTAAAACTCTCTTACTTTTACTTTTAATAGTATTTCTGTATTATTTATTTCACATGTAGTCAGACATGTAGTATTTTTCAGGGTTTATAAGAGGACGTGTTAAAACACTGTTTCTGTGCAGGAAATACCACGTAGAGCTCAGTTATTGTTTGTTAGAAGTGCTGAGCCGTAGAAATGAGATGAAGAATGGGACAAGCTCTGTTTAGTCAAAGTTAATCAAGAAACATCAAAGTTAATTATAACTGGCCCTTTGAGGGCCACCATGACRCTCATGTGGCCCTTGGTGAAAATGGGCTTGACCCCCACCCTGTTGTAAACAGTGATTGTTAGTAGCAGATGCTGCAGTGAAAGACTGAAAGAGATTCATCAGCCATTTGGAAATGCTTATAATATAACCACTTCCAAATGGCTGATGAGTTTACCCTGATGTAGAAATACAGATTTTTGGATGTCCTTAATTGAGAGAATCTGACAGGATGATGCTAAAGGCTAGTTCGATTACAGATAAGAAAAATTGTGGATTGCTGAGGTCTTGAAATTCAATTCAGTTTAGTTTATTTAATAAGAACCAAATCACAAATATGAGCTCCTGGATGAGGTGTGTCGGTGCGTACGTGTCTGTGTTTCTTTACAGTAGCTTGTAGTTGGGTATTTGGTGACAGATGGTCGAGCACCTCGGCCAGATTACGAACTAGATGGTCCAACCAATCAGACGGGGCCTGCAGCGCTGGGAGGAGGGAGGTGGGGTAAAAATAGCCTGCCTTGTCTAATCTGCTGCAGGTGAGGCAGTGTGCGCGCTTCCCTTCATACCGTTTGTGCGACTGCATGTGCAGATTGTGCTGAGACCTGAAATTAACCGATCAAACGGTTCTTAAGCACGGTTTTCACCAGGAAGTGTGAAAACAAGCGCACAAAGTTTAACTGCACCAGTAACCATGGCAGCAGCAGGGCCTTTGTTGGTGGCGGCGCATTGATTTACACTCTGTGGGAATTTATTAGTGGCTTACAGTGATTGGTGGATCAGGACCAGCCTGCGTGAGTTACTGCAGCCAGAGAAGCTCGTCTGCAGCCTACCTGGAGCTCTTTATCTTCACACCGATCAGAATAATAACACATTGATCTGTCACATGTTTTCACTCCAAATAACACATGGATTTATAGATTTCAGCTGTGTTCTGGTTTCCTCACAGTTTGTCTGGAATGTGTCCGAGTTTCTGGAACAAATGGTCAAATTCAGCTGTGTGTTTTTTTTTTCTTTTCTCTGCAGATCTTTGCAATCTTCGCCTTCTCGACATGTGGCAGCTACTCCGGCATATTCAAGATGAGCGTGGAGTGTAAAAACCGATCAGACAGTAACCTAGACATAAAAGTAGAATTTGAATATCCTTTCAGGTATGTATTATGTGCAAAAATAAATAATGCAGACTGTTAATTTCTCMCATTTAATTCCTGAACCAGTTCCATTCCTTCACACAGTCACGTTAGTAGGTTATGATTTAGCATCAAAGCTTAAACATTTACAGGAAAGTTTAAATGATCCTTTGACTATTTGATTTGCTAATTTCGGCAGTAATTCATCAAGTATAAAATACCAATAACACTAATTTATAAGTCTTTTTGTATATAAAAGTAAAAATCAGGTAGCTATTTGAGTACAAGGACTGGGTTTGCAAATTAGCCTATGGCTAGAAAACCCTTGTACAAAGCAACGGTTGCTTGTTTATTATCATGTAACATTGTGTATTGTGCTGTCCTTGATCAAATAAAATGAAATGAATGAATGAATTTGAGTGATTTTAAGTATTAGTAACTGTAAAAAGGTCAATTGTCAGATGAGTCTTGTTGCMACCAGACAGTGAGGTAACATCTTATATATGACAAACTTATAGAGGTGACTCAATAAAGGATAAGTTACTTAAAATATAAATATTAATTGTAAATATTGTACCCATATTATTATAAATCCCTAAAAATACACTGATGGAGAATCCTAAGCATCATAAGTAAAAGTATCCAGTCAAAATGTCTTCAGAAAAGTAAAATACTAAATGTGACTGTACATAGATAGTTGTACACATCTTCTGACAAAACTCTAAATCATCTGAAGTTTTGACAGAAAGTGATGAACTTTTCATTTTATTAGAATAAATTTCTGACCGCAAAACCTTCCAGCTCTTGTTCTCCTACACACAGTCATCAATTTAATCTACACCAATAACATGTAAAGGGATAATTCAGATTTTTTTAAGTGGTCTGTGGAGTTTTATTAACAGTCAGTATCTTACCTGTGGTAGACAGTAAGTATAGGTTTGGAGAAATGTTTTTTCAGGAGTTGTGAGCTAATGGGTAGTATAAGTGGGGTCATTTCCAAAGTCTGCCATCCTAAAACCATTTCAGTATTAAAAGTTTTATAACAGTTCTTGCCCACACTATTTTATACATATTGATATTCTGTCACTGTTGTATTAGATGTTTATTTACACAGAAGTCAAATTATTTAGCCTTTGTTGGTCTGCTGTTGTTTCTGGTAATGATCTATGTGAAACATCAGTCAAGGCCTGTCAAACGTGTATAACTTACATGTAACGTGTGAACATGTGCTTAACTTACTTGTTGTATACCTGGAATTTATGCCTAACTAATCAGCCACAGGTAAATGGTAAATAGACTGTATTTACTTTATATAGCACCTTTCTATCCAACCAGGATACTCAAGGCTCGTTACACTGGTGTACGACTGCTCAGTGGTTAGCACTGTCGCCTCACAGCAAGAAGGTCCTGGGATCGATCCCTGGTTCGGACCTGGGCTCTTTCTCTGTGGAGTTTGTGTGTTTTTCTTGTGCTTGCGTGGGTTTTCTGCAGGTACTCCGGTTTCCCGCACACCCCAAAAAATATGTACAAAAGCAGGCCAGCAAAAGAGATCTGTGATCTCAATGGGATTTGCCYGGTTAAATAACAGTTAAATAAACACTACAATCTGTGTCTTCATTTACACATTCACACAGCACTCTTATCATGTTTCTCTACAAAGCTAATCTAGATAAATCATTCTGTAGTCAGTGTTTTAAATCACATTCATTCACTGATCGGACACATCAGAGGCAGTGGGGATTCAGTGTCTTGCGCAAGGACACTTCAACATGTGACTGAGTAGCGGTGGAATTGAACCGCCAAATCTGATTGGAGGACAACTCCCCTAACCACTTAGCCACCACTGACATGTCAATATATATTAAATATTTCCTGAAAAAAATGTKGGTTAATCATAGTATATCAGTATTCTGGTAACTTATTCAAAACTTACCCCAACATATGTGACCTACACCAGTGTATATACCTTTTTCCCCTCCCCAGACGTCGACACAAGTTGTCAAATCTGCTTTAGTGTGACAGGGCCTTTAAAAAACTGAGCATGGTCAGGGTAACCAGGCAGAATAACTAAAAGATTTAATTATTAAAACTTGCCATGTTTTCTCAGCTGTTTCCTCACTCTTTCATGTGTCTCTGTATCGCTTTGTGACATCGTCCTTAGGCTCCATCAGGTTTACTTTGATGCCCCCACCTGTAAGGGAGGAAACGAGGAGCGTCTGTTCCTGGTCGGAGACTACTCTTCTTCAGCCCAGTTCTTCGTCACCATCGGTGTCTTTTCCTTCCTCTACTCCATGGCAGCCCTCGCTGTATACTCTTTCATACTGGAGAAGTATCGTGAAAACAACAAGGGAGCTCAGATTGTGAGTTTATATGTCAATCATATTTATGACGCCACCAATAAAGACAAATACTTTGGCAGTAAAAATAAATATGTGATGTTTCTGGCCCCTAGGACTTCGGTGTGACGGCAGTGTTTGCCTTCATGTGGCTGGTGTCCTCGTGCGCTTGGGCTAAAGGTCTGTCGGACGTGAAAACAGCCACTGATCCGGAGAGAGTCGTCACTCTCATCGCAGCCTGTGACGAGCCAGAAAACCGCTGCCGTGAGGTCTTTGAACCCAAGGTCTCTGGCCTCAACACCTCCGTGGTAGGTCCCACCCTGCTGACTGAGCAAAACTTTCTGAAGAGCTTATGTCAGAAGAATATAAACAAACATTTATCGGGTTTCAGGCTTTTGGTTTCATTAACCTGATCCTGTGGCTGGGAAACCTGTGGTTCGTCTTCAAAGAGACCGGCTGGATGGCTGCGTTCGCTGGAACGTACGCCCCATCGCAGGAGAAGCAGCCCGCCCCCGATTCCTTTGGCCAGGGAGGCTACGCGCAGCAGGACCCCTATGCCGGCACCCAGGGAGGGTAYCAGCCCGACTACGGCCAGCAAGGAGGCTACAACGAAGATGGAGGTTACAACCAGGGCTATGACCAGCAGCCCACCTCCTACTCTAATCAAATGTGAGCCCGCCCAGCTGAACCGCAGCTGCAGGATGGTGAGTATACACACATACTATATATACACACATATGTACACACATATATACACACATATGTTATATTCTTAGTGAAATTTAGAAATCGAAATATGTAGATCCAACTTTTCTGTCAACACTTCACATTCAGGCGCCTTGAGAGCAAGTTTTCGTTAAAATATTAAAGTGTCTGTGACATGCCTATCCTTCAAATACAAAAAGTCAACGAAAACATCTTTTTACTTAAGAAAATTGGCATAGTACAGATTATTTTACCCATTTTGTCACATAACTGCCTATTTTCTTTTGAATTTGGCTCAGCCAAAATGAAACAGGAAGTGACATCACAGGGGAACTCATTAATAAAATATTATCTCTGGTTTTTGTTTATTAAAATAAACTTATTTAAACTTTAACTTTTCTTTATCTCTCTTTTATAGCGACTCAAAATAATCTAAAGAAACATCAGATTCTTCTCTATAGTCTGTGTTGTAACAAAGCTCCATTCACTTTCAGACATTCCCCTTTGACATCACTTCCTGTTTCTTCACATGCWAATATCTCAACAACTGTTCATCTCAGTAACATAAAATTTGTTTTGCAATATTTTATCAATGTTCTCTTTCAAAAAATGCATTCATGTTAATTACAAAAATATGATGTCACAGGCACTTTAAAGACCTGAATGTTTCTGTAGTTTTAGTTTTGAATGACAAAAGAACAAGACATGCAACTGAATTAAATCTTTTAGTGATAAAGTGACTAGCAGCAGGTTTTATAACAGTTTGATTTTCACAATCTCAAATCCATATTAAGTAATCTGATGAGATGCTGTAAATTAGATTTTGATGTCAAAAAAGCAGCAGCTAGAGTCCCTCTTCCTCAAGAGTTTGTAGAGATGGAAAAGAAGAGAAAAAGTTACTTTTTTCAGTTCAGATTTTGAAATGGAGGAAATTGTCTTTTCTTTAAATTCTGGATTTGTAAATAAAGCAACTTGTGAAATGGTTTGCATCCTCAAAGGTCTGCAACTTATACCTGTTGCCTTTAGTGGATCTAAAACAAAATGTGGTTTAAAAATGTTTATTTCCCTGTACAAATAATGGCCTGTATATTTAGTACTTTATCACAAAGACTTGTGTGAAGCAGTGATGTCAGCTTGGACAGAGAGCAAACAGAGTGGGATGAAGACAGAGAAAAGGCCCACCGCTCATTTATACATCATTTGCTGTTCAGTCAGTCTCTTTCAGGAATAATGGCAGCAATGGTTATCCTTTCACATAATGTGTTTATGTAATAAAGGTGGGTCTGTATAATAAAGAGGGAGGGATAGAAAGACAGTTTTAGAGCAGCTTTCTGTGAGATCTTTGATCTTATTCAGCTCACTTTGCTCTTAGATTTGCACTAAGCACATGACTTAAAGCTGTGGTGAAGTTTGTTGAATACTCTATGACTGTTAAAAGTGCTCTGTGCCCTGGGAGACTCAGAAACATCCACCCACAGCTTTAAGCATAATTTGTTGGGCTTATTTACAAAAGCCACTGGCTTGTTTTACAGCTAACCAACCTTCAACATGACATAGCTTATTGTCTTTGATTACCTTTGAACTTGATGCTTAAAGGATGGATTTAACTTAGTCAGTTACACATATTGAACTACACAAACAAATCATGTCACACTCCAGCAGGACATATTCATTAAAATAAAAAGGACTGTACTTAAGAAGTATTTGTATTTCATTAATTAAATTATTGCATTTGGCCCACAGCCCTTGGATAGATTTTTATTTTGGAGAAAAGGTTTGGCCACTTTTGGTATATGTATCTAAACTGAAACAGCTACACTAGTGCATCCTAAATTTAACATTAATAAATTATTTTTATACAACATAGCCATTTCTGCATTTTTTGAGGAGGTCACCTCCTAATAAATGTTATTACAGAAAACCTAACTGCTCATTTTAAATCAATACTTTTACTTTAAAAAAATATCAGATACTTTAAGACTTTTACTGAAGTAATATTCCTAAAGGAGACTTTAACTTTTACTAAAGTAATTTTTGGTAAGATAGTTGTACTTTTACTCAAGTATCACTTTGTAGTACTTTATACAACACTACTCAGTTACTGAATCCAGCTTGTTCAGCCAAAGATGAAAGCATGAAACGAATCTGATGTGACAGTTTTTATTGACTCTGCGTCTCTCTCTGCCTCTCCTCAGGGTGACCTTGTGATTTCGGCGAACGGCTCTCGACCACCACCTGCATTTCCACGCTCCTCTGTTTGTCTGTTTGTGTGTYCGTGTGAGTCGACAGGCGCTGGGAGGGAGGGCTTAAAAACACTTGTGGGTCTTTGAGGGGAGTGGTGGAGGGGGGATCACCACCAAGGGAGCAGGGCCAGCGTGGGAGGGAGGGTTGTGTGGGTTGAGGGTGGGGGGTCTGTCTTTGCTGTAAACATGATGAATATTCTTGTGGTGTATTTTAACTGTAGAAGACAACAGAGGATTGTCTGTTTGGTTTTACGAAACAAACTTGAATACAAATACCAAAACATTTGTTGAACATTTAAGGGAAATCTTGCAACAGAGAAGACTTACATTTATGAGGAAAAACAAAAAAAAAAAACAAAAAAGAAAAAAAAACTGTAGTAATATTTAACTTGAGAGAATGTATTTGTCTGTGCTGTGTAAATATGAACCTGCTGAAACATATATAAATATACAGTATATGATTATATGTACACAGTTGAATAACTGTGCACTCTATATTAGTTGTTATACAACAAATGTTGAGCACAGAGTTATTCAATTGGTTTTACTTTGGTTCTGTTTAGGAGCTCCAACAGTTTCACCTTCACCGACCAGTTCTCAGTTCACGCCATGATTTATTCATTCACACATCTCAACATCCGGACAATCTTCTGTTCTCATCAGTTTCCTCCACATTCATATTTATCTTTATTTTTGTCAGCGTTACTGACGGGACTGGACTGGTGAAGGCTGTTGAAAATGCAAACGTTAAAAGAAGAGATATTTATCTTTATTAAAAAGATTGAATAAATTGTGATCTATGGAGTAATACAAGTGGTAACAGTTAGGTGTAAGTAAGTTGTTTCAGCGTTTTGTTTCAATCATTTTTTTCCCTCCATCGGAGTGGGTGAGTTCCTGAATATTGTTCATTAAAACCTGTAGGGACAAATCCGTTCATGAGCGTGGTGGCGTCCCATATTTGTTGTTTCTTAAACCGCTGTAGTGCTGTCAGTATGGAAATCGTGACAAACGTTGTTAGCGGCGTGTGTTTGTTGGTTTGTTTGAGTTTGATGTAAGAGCATCGAGCAGTTTCTGTCGATTAATCTTTTTTCCATATTCTATCGCCTTGTATGTGGTCCAGGAAGTTGTGAGACAGAGTCATGTTGTTTTATTTTTTAATGGTGTTCGTATCAAACTGAAATCAGTGGCACACACTCACCTTAACGTAGAGTAAAACAGATTCTGGTCAGGATGTCCGTGATGGCGAGGCAGTTTGAGCAGCCCGTTGCCGTGTTTTAACCCGCTGCACCGGCGGCTCGTCTTTATCGTTCCTCCTTCAGGGCGTCGAGCCACTGCGCCGCATGCAGTTTTCTCCCTGCATTCTGAAGCATCCACAGAGACTCGGGAAGGAGCGAGCATTTGTCTGGTCCACCACCACGGTCACTGCACAGCCCACACTTAACAGCAGCTCTGCCATATCGTACCCAAAGCACAAACACAGTGCTGCAATAACGACTTGTACCCAGCTAGAGTCAGTACAGCCGCAGATGTTTGCCAAATGGTAAAGGTTTTGTTTTATCGGCGGTTTCGCTGTGACAGCTCTGACCAGAATGAGTTGCTCCTCATCTCCAGCACATAGCCACTCATTGTACAGACGTTCATTTTGTTTTAAATCAGGGTTGTTTGACTCAAGCTACTGGCTTTCTGTAGTTTCTCCACTTCCTTTTCTTTCTTTGTGTTTCTTTCTCTTTCACTGTAGCTCTTATAAATATGCTGAAATGAAATATAGTCTGTTGTTAGTGGTGAATGATGTCTTGTGATACTCTCTAAGCCCTTGGATAGTGCTGTGTTTTATTGTGAATGATGTATTCATATTAGTATTTATGATAATGATAAGTCAGAAAAAAAAATTYAAGACTCTCCGAAATTTTGCCGTATTCTTATTATATGGGATCCATGTGAAACTAAATGAAATAAACTTGACATTATTCTGTTGAAGGGTAAGCTGTGTGGTTATTTTAATTCATAACAGATAATGCATTTGATTGATTTCTTTCTGATATTAAATAATTTATTTTTTTCAGCTTTGACCGAGGGAACAAAATTTAACATAATTATAGGAAATTCTGTCTTAACACGATGCTCAGTGGTGCTTGGGAGGTTGAGTTTTCCTTATCTTTATTGTTTTACTTTCCAAACACMAAAAACAATACAGGGAAGATCAGAAGAATCTAAGCATGTTACAGTTCTGCTGCAGTTAAAGATTTACTTAGAGTTCAAGGGTTTAGTACTTTGAATTGGTTAACATTTCATTTTTACGGCTGGCAAACACAACAATTTTTAAAACGTAAAAACTAACCTCTTTAATAAAAATCACAATGATACCTCATGGACCCAAGGATTTACACCCAAAGTCAGAGGTTTACATCCACTCATCAGGGGCATCACTTTTGACTTTTAATGATATATGTGACCCATCACATCGAAACGAGGATTAAGTCCAAAAGTGGTATAAGGAGAAATAGGCAAATATAGTGTTTTGATTAAAATGTTAACAAAAATTGCATTTTGTCAAAATTTAATAAAAATGTATCATTTGAATGAACTGCCTAAAATAAAATCATAAAACAAAATTTTGAAGCACTTTTTTGAGCAGTAGCAACAAAAAAAAAATGATTTTGAGGAAAAACGCCTTAAAATGTTG